TTCTTTCGAACCATTTAACTTGCAAAACCTACCCCACACAGTTGAAGGTGGCTGTTTCATGCGTTAGACCTGGAGAACCTGTTGGAGAAGAGACATTACTGACCTCCATTGAGAGTGAATTTCTGGCCAGATACTTTGACGAAGCCGGTAGGTGAGGTGCCACCGGAAGTCGTGCTTGTGGTGCTAGATCTGGTGGACGTGGTACTAGATCTGGTGGACGTAGTACTAGTGGTAGTACTAGTGCTGGTTCGAGAACTCGTAGTTGACGAACTCGATCTTGTAGACGATGACGAAGTGGCGGTTGTCGTTGGCTGTTCTATGGTTAAGGGAGGTCACAAAATCGGGATCAAGGCACAGTACCTTTATACACTGATAATACCCTATCGGTGATATATCAATATGGCTACACTAGAGAGAGGAAGTCCACTCACAATCATTCCATGGATGACAGATCAGTCCGCTATCACAGGTACCTAAGCCCTTGGGGTATAACATCCAACCAAGCAGCGTGGGGTGCTCAGTGGATCACTGATCATGCAAACGTTCAGAAATCTGTCGGAAAACCTGTCCTCATCGAAGAATATGGTCTAACTGAATCGGGCCGAGGTACACCTCTTTGCCATCATCTTTATTGTATTTGACTAACATTACTTGTAGCGAGTACCTATGCTGTATGGTGGAACGCCGTCGAGACCTCTGGACTTGCTGGTGAGCTCTATTGGCAAGCTGGAACGACTCCTAGTGGATCCGGATATAACGATGGATATGCTATCTTGTGAGAACTATCAATTATCCTTCCGCACTTTGGACTCACCCTTTACCCCCTCCAGCACAAGCGACTCGATGTTCTCTGCTCTCAAGACCCATTATGCCAAACTGAAGGCTCGCACCTGAGCACATTGAGGACACTTATACCAGGCTGGTTGAATGCAAATACACTTCTTTTTCCGATCTGCCTACACCCAGATTAGCCTGTCCTTACCCTTTTATGTATAAATTCTTATCAGAATGACGCTGTTGTCCGATTTATTCCCAAACTGTCGATCGTATCATGAGCTCGCTGTTTTGGAAGGAGTGAGCATCATAGTTCTGACGAAACATTTAGTTGAGGAACTCTAGTAGCCGCCTGCCGTGAACCACTTACTGACGCCCTTTTTGCAGAAGTTAATGGCGTGTCGATTGGGAAATGGGAATCCAAATGGTGGCCACTCCTCAAGACGCTAAAGCATTCCCAGACCAATTACCTTATGAAATAGCCATAGGAGTTGTTTCGTTATATAACGTCGCGACGTTACTCCCGTTCTTAACTTGGATTTGAATAGAGCAACCAGTCGCTTCAGACATTCTGAGCGACCTGACGCACAATCATCTGTAGCAAGCTTGGAAGGGAGTTACTGCGATATTGTGAACAGTTGGTTCTTCGGTGCGTCGCCAAAGGCTCTTGGAATCGAGGTGAAATGTGGATGCCTTTCGCCTAGAAGATGCCAGAGTGATCGAACGCCTTATCTTTGTGTTCATTTTACTGGACCATATATACTGACTTCATATGGCTCACCAGGCTAGGGCCCTCCTATTGTATTGATTGAGCCCATCAACATCGGACGACACCAGGCAATAAAAACCTTGATCCTAACCATACTCCTAGTGAATTTTCTTGGTGAAAAAATCTTCTGCAAGAGTATGCGATGAAGATGAAGGGAAATGTTGCATTCTAGGACATTATATTTCCTTGGCTAGGAGCTTCTGCGAGCTTCTCGCCAGGAAGCCCCCACAACGATACCTTTCAACAAATCGAGCAACCCATTTCTCCGTCGAATCGTGACCCCCTTTTCATGCACTAGTGTGATGGTCTGGTACACATGATCGTTGGTCAATTTTCAGAACTTGGACTCCGACAATGCTGCGAACATGCATGCAATCGGGAGTGGCCCCTTTGCTTGGCATCAAACAAGAGGTCCCCAGCAAACCACATCAAATAGGGGTGTTGTTCGACATGCTCTCCTGTAATTCTATCCCAGAACGAATTAGAAGCGGTCCGCCGCACCGTTCCGTTGATTGACCAATTGTTCTGGCTACCGTCCCGTTCAAACTTTCAGGAGTAATTGAAAAGTCAGCATGCCACTCCAAACCATACTACCCCTCGACCAAGAACTGCATTCATGGGGGCGATACGAACCCGACAATGAGCCTTTGTCGGTGCTCAACGAGCAGAAAGATCGTTTCCGACATCTTGGGCCAATCGTATATTCTGCCGGGTGTAATCACTCGTTTTCCATTGTCAACGGTATAAAACAGACTAGCCGTTGGGTTGCCGTCGTGCATATCCTTTCCCTTCCCAACTTGGCACATCATCATGAAAACTGTCTTTCCTTCGCTAGCCGCACTCGTTGCATTATTACCCAGCGTTCTCGCAGTCGCAGAATATGGTCAATGTGGGGTATGCTCCCTCATCCAAGGGTAACTAGAATGATTACCAACCGTTTTGAAGGGCCTTAACTACTCCGGACCTACGACCTGTG